CAGCAATTCATGTCTTTTTTTCCAATTGCCAGAAAGCATGTGCACGCACGAGAGAGAGAGAGACAGAGAGAGAGAGAGAGCGAGCACACAAGAGAGAAAGCACCTCCCAGACGCACGTAATCATGCCACATCTTTTCCTCTATTTCGCCATCCTATCAGATTTTTTTCTTTTTTTTTTTTTTTGGAGAGGTTCTTGCTATAGGGCGCATGCGCTCGCCAGGAAGACAGAGAGACAGAAAGCGAGAAATCACATCCCAGGGGGGATGGCCACACAGCAATCCCTTCTCCATTCTCCTCTCGAGATCTTGGGCATGCACACACACGCGCCCGGCACAAGTTTAAGTCACCGGGTCTGTGACTCGAACCGCTGTCGACTACATGGGAGTCCAGCGACATAGCCATTACGCTAACGTCCCAGACCCATCCTATCAGATTTTGCATATGCATGCACACATGCTGGGTGTGTTTTTGCAAGCTGCATGGGCTGGGACTTGAGTTGATGTTGGCCACATAGGATCCAGCTCCCTACTTACAGAACTTAACCGCTGCAGGGCCAGCCCAGAGGAGACAATTACTACAGTTCCTGAATGCTCGAGGCAAGTTAGGTACTGAGTTAAACCACTTTACAAGCATGAGCTTCTTTAAACCTCAATCTATAAAACCGTGTGGTGCCTAGGCAGGGATGTCGAGTACCCAGGTGGCTCCGCTGGAGTGCCCAGAGCTCTATCCCTCGCTTACCTGCAGCTCGTCCAGACTGAATTCACAGTACTCCCTGCGGGTGCCCTTGCCATTGGTCAGGATCCCGCAGCCGCTCATCATGATGGTGCCTGGGTGAAGGTGCACACGGCAGTGAAGGCACAGGCTTCCTTCCCATCAGCACCCTCAGGCCTGTGTCCCTGCCCTGCCTAGAGCTGGTACCTGTCTGGAGGTTGGTCATGGTGGCCGGGTACTCCAGGCTGTTGGGGTTGTGGGTGGTGACACCGATCTCAATGGAGCCTGACCACTTATCCACGAGTTTGTCGATTCGAATCTGGAGTTGAGGGTGGCAGAAGGGAAGAGCAGTGAATATACTGATAAATGCAGAGGAGGGACCCCCAGCCCTTGGCTCTTCTCCAGCCCCCACTCTCCCAGCATCAGGGTCAAGCCCTACCTTTAGCTCCCAGAGTGAGGCACCAGTGACACCCCAGGACCTCGCTCACCTCAAACATCTCGTTGTCCCGCAGCGGGCGGTTGGTCATGACAACTCCGTTGTTGAACTCATCCAGGGGCCGTCGGCGCTCGGCCGTCTTATTATTGTTGCTGAGCTTGATGAGGGTCCCGCATTTCTCGTGAAAGAGCAGGGCGTCATTGGAAGTGAGGATGGGCGAGGTGGCAGCACCGCTAGAAGCCAGCCCATCCCCTGCGGGTGGGGAGCTCAGGTTCACATTGAGGAGCCCCCCGTTGTAGGCTGATAGGATGGCATTGCTCACCACCTCGGAGAGCTCCATGCTGGCGAAGTCTACAGGGGCGGGATGGAGGACGAAAGTGCGATAAGGCTCTACACCATCAGGCTCAGTGCCCTCTCCCTCTACCCATCTATGAGGCCCGGCCCTCATCCACCTCACTTCCCGCGCCCTTCCCAAGGCCTCCCCAAAGCCCTCACCATTATGCGACTCAAGGCTGTTAGGAAACGTCTCCGGCCTGGCCTGCGCTGGGGACACCATGAAGGCTGGTAGGACCAGGTAGGGTGGGAGGGGAATAAGGGTTCAGCCTCTGCTTCAGGGCCCAGCCTTTGGCCCCCTCTCTCCCCTTAACAGACTCGGGGGTCTGGATGGCCCTGCCCACACCCAGCCTCACTTGCCACTGCACTTCCACCGTTTCATCACCCACTCCCTCTGCCCACCCCTCCACCACTGCCCTGCCTGTGTGCTCACCTTCATCCCCCGAAGTCCCCTGTTCAGCCAAAGCAGAGTCTTCAGTGGGGGCCGAGGGCTCGAGGGGAGGTGTGGGGATGGGAAGAGGGGGGCTGAAACCTGGCTCAGGGGGTAGTACAGTGATCTGGGTGCACTTGCCATAAAGGTCCACGACGGCCCAGACACGAGCGGGCAGGCCTGTGGCGGCTACCCCACAGTCCCGCCCATTCACCCAGAGGCGCAGCTCCCCGGCAGCCGTGCGCTCCACACCCACACGGTCTCCTTCGCCAAGCTGGTCCAGATCCTGACCATACTCCTCCAGCACAGAGCGTCCATCCTTCAGCACCGAGCAGCCGGACACTACCCACGAGCCCCCCTTGAGCCCTGTGGCGCTGCTTGGGAAGTCCAGCACACTGGGGTCCAGCGCCGTCACCCCGATCTCAATGGAGCCACTCCAGGAGTTGACCTGTGATAGAGGTGATGAACAGAGGCTCAACATGGGCCACCAGTGGGTATCCCACACAAGGAAACCACATTCCACAGGCTACTGTGCCCCCCTTTTCCTACTTCTGTCTTCGGGCATGAATCCAAAGATGCAGACCCAGAAGTAATGTTCTGGACTCTGTCTCAGTAATTACCTGCACCTGCTCTCCCTCCATGTCCGCTGTCAGGGCAGCACCCTAACACCTCCCTTTCCACGCCCAGCAGGCTAAATTTCCTGGTCCCAACCCCCCACTTCCTCGGAATTCCCTGGTCTCTATGGCTTCAACAACAAACATGCACATGCTTTCTACGCCAATACTCTGGTTCTCTTGTACATGCCCTCTCCCCCTGGCCTGTCTCCTAGGCTCAGGCTCCGCTAGGATTCACCCTCCTCCCAAATTCTTTTGCAAGCCTGACCTGGCTACATCACACTCGCATCCTCTCCCTGAGTGTTTCTCCTCGCGCATCCTTCCTTCCTGCTCTGCCTGTGAGCTTGTCTTTCAACGGTGAGTTCTTTCCTTTTCTCTTCCCGTGACATCTCTGACTTCTCTCCATCCCCAAAAAACTGTCCCAGGAGACCCGCTGCCCAGCCATTCTAGCGGGTGAGACCGCGTATCCCTCCCGTTCCTGGGTTTCAAGTCTCGTCTCCTTCAGACCGAACATTTCGGCCCCCTGCTCCCTTCCTGCGCGTCAGCTGGTGCTCCACGGCCAGTCGGCTCCCTTTGGGCGCCAGTGATGCAAGCTGCCCTGGCGGTGCTACCCAGTCTCCCTCTGGTCCCCTCCCACCACCCTCCACTCTCGGTTCCGCTACTCCAGCTCTGCACCTTGCGGTCGATGCGGACGGTGAAGACGCGTCCATCGCGCAAGGGTTCCCGGCTCAACACCAGCCCGTGGTTAAACTCTTGGCCCGGTTGCTGCCGCCGCGCTGTACGCCCGCAGGCCGACAGGCTCACCAAGCGCCCCGTGCGCGGGTGCAGCTCCCC